TTATGCCAAGATTATTTGCCTAATTAGCAGTGTAAAGAACAACTTTTATTCAAACAGACCGTACACAGTACAGATGAATACGTATTAGCATATTCTTTTATGTTCTAAATCCATAACTTAGACAAGTTTGTTGAGTGCTGGCAGATCTAACATGGGCTTCATTTGTTCTCTCTCCAAGAAATCCCAACCAAAATGCATAAAAATTGCTGCAGATTTCTTTTGTCTGTCTTGTAAAATTTTTTAGTTGACTTGTCCCTCTGATACACTACATTACAGCTATTTGATTTAGATGAATATTCAAGAGATGTTGTATATATTGCTATATAATATATGTTGTGTTAAATTATAATTTAAGTATCTACCAATAATTAAAAATTGTGTACTGATCCTTTAGTTGATGTGGAGCAAATTCAACAAAAATTGTCAACCTATGGTTGATTTCTTCTTGTTTCATTGCTTCATGCATTTCTTATTTTACAATGCTACGTACTAAAAATGTATATATCTAGAAAATTATCAAGAATTTGTTAAGGATTAAATTTATTTAGATGTAATTCATATCACACTAAATTTAACAAATTAAACTATAAATTGTGTGCACTTTTCTTAGTATGCACTCATAAATTGAAATTGAAGTTTATCTATAAAGATTTTTATTTTGTCGATCAAAAAAAATTGAAATTGAAATTTACACCATAAATTCACTTGTTTTTGTTTGCTTATTTATGATTCCAATAGGTGAGGCCATAGCATGTACCCTTACATATAAGGTCGAAGGACTTCCCTACCTCTCAACATTTGAATCAGAACATAGAGAGAGACACACACAATATATATATATATATATATAGAGAGAGAGAGAGAGAGAGAGAGAAATTAAAAATTGTGTACTGATCCTTTAGTTGATGTGGAGCAAATTCAACAAAAATTGTCAACCTATGGTTGATTTCTTCTTGTTTCATTGCTTTATGCATTTCTTATTTTTCAATGCTGCGTACTAAAAATGTATATATCTAGAAAATTATCAAGAATTTGTTAAGGATTAAATTTATTTTAGATGTAATTCATATCACACTTGAGAGGGGAGATTTGCGCGTTAGTACGGCCGAGCTATGATAACGTTGATCATGACGAACCGCACGCCGCCGAGCAGACTCCTCTTGCTCGGCCTAGCGGCCTGACTTGCACGGCTGGAGAGGTCTACCGGCCAGACATGAACCAATGCCTGGCTGAGCTATGACGCGGTCGAGCACGCAGCAGTGTCTGATGACCAAGCTAAGAGCAACCCGGACTGGATTTGAGATGCGATTAGCGTTGGCATGCGCCTAACCGATCGGCCGAAATGGACGGGCTTCATGTGATCAAGAATGAAGAACGGTGGAAGTCCAGCGTGCTTCATGGCCGTTCAGTCAGGTGGGACCGATCATAAATAGCCCGGCCATGAGCGTAACACTTTGGCCCCTTTGCCAAGGGGCAGGTCGGCGTTCATTAGCTCGGTTATGTGTTCGAGGAGGCGATTCTCCACAAGGAACCAGCTGGTCGTGGTACTCCGGTTAAGTGTGCCACCTGGGCCAATGGCGTGAGGAAGAGGACATCTGCTCCACGCACGCACCAATACCGTTTGGCAGTTCTGCATGTACTGGTTGGAGGACGAAATCTTTACACGCGTAAGGTGGTGGGAGGCAAGCACTGCCACCTGTCCAGGGAAGGACAACAGAGGTGGTGCGCGCATGATCTTGGGGCTACATGGCCAGCCTAGAAATAGTGGAGGAAGGTGAACGTTAGAGGTATGCAATTTTTTCCCCAAAGAGAATACTCTCTCTCTCTAACAGTCTTCTTCTCCCTCAAGTGGATTGACTTGATCATCGGAGGGTCTATCTGGCACACCACCGCCGGGTAGCTCACCGTTTCTGTGTTGCCAGGTAGACGCTGTCAAGAGAAGCTTGGAGTACAAGGAGTACGGAAAACAGAGGATATTTCGCCCCTGTACAATTGGCGCCGTCTGTGGGAAAATCTTTGATACTCAACCCTTGTTCTTTAAGCTTCCTCGACCATTCCATGGCCAACAACGGTGAAGCCCCACTGTCCGTCGTCGATGGCGTCACACCTGAGTATGTCCGCTTGAGAGAAGGCCCCCTGAATATTCCAGCCATGGCGGGCCTAGAGACTTCTTCATGAGGTGCGCGAGACAAACGCGGGAGGAGTACTGATCACTCGCGGAGTCCAGAGGGCCGCCGACGCCGGGGGGAGTCCCATGCGCAGCACCTGGAGCACAAACTCAAGGACCAAGATGCCCTCATTCACAAGATGGAGGCAGACATGGAGCTGCTGAAACGCCAGATTAAAGGGAAGGGTGTTGCTGGAGAGGGCAACCTCAGTGAGCGCACCCTGTCCCCTCGTTGTAGCAGTTGCCGCCAGGGGAGGACTCACTTTCTCTCCATCACCAGGAACTATGGGGTTGGAGATTCCGACCAAAGAGAGGGCAGGTCTCTCTCTCGCGACAGCACTTACCGCCCCTCACGCCCGACGTCGACGTCGCGATCCTCTTTCACCACACGTTCCAGGGACTTGAGGGATGTATTGGAGGAGAGGGCGCGCCACCGGGAGGCTCGGAGAGTGCCGGCATTGCAGAGGTTGAGCGCTCCAGTTTGTTGTAGTGAGGAAGTGGCGATGCCAGCCCCCAAAGCGATAGCCCCTGCGCTGGTGGACAAAGAGCTGGCGCGACTTACAGCCACGCCGCTGTCTCCAGAGATTGAGAGTACACCACTCCCCGCCGAATTCCACCAGCCAAAGTTCACTTTGTATAACGGCAAGACGGATCCGTACATGCATGTGAGCCCTTACCGGCAAGTAATGGCTGGCCACCGGCGCAACGACGCCTTGATGTGCCTCATATTCCCAGCAAGCTTGGGAGAGCTGGGTTTGAAGTGGTTCGAAAGGCTCCCGGAGGGGAGTATTGAGGGGTGGCAGCAACTAGCGGAAGCCTTTGTCACCAGATTAACAAAACCAACACACGAACGCCGAAGGAGGTCGACCATCTCCTGGGCGTCAAGATGGAGTCTGGATGTTCATTGAAGGCATACAATGCGAAATACTGGGAAACTTACAATGAGATCCTCGACTGCCCCACCAATTTGATGATCACTCAATACAAACGGGGTCTCCCAATCGGACATAGGCTGCGAGATTCACTCACGATGCATCAACCCACAACCATGGAGTCGTTGATGCAGCGGATCAATGAGCACATTCGTGTGGAGGATGATGCCGCCTCCGCGACTGAGAAGGCTAATCCGATCGCGGCGGACAGAAGGGTGGCGGGGAAAGTTCACTCGGTTGGGCAGGAGGATAACCGCCCAAACAACCGGTCAAAAGATCAGCGCCATGGTTCAAACCGTGATGACAGAAACAAGGGCCGCCGAAACGACCGAGCTGACACTCCCCATGATGCAGTGGAGGATGCCAAAAGAAAATTAAAGGCACGGACTGGAATCACCATGGTCTTTAAAATCCCCATTTACCGCATCTTGAGCGAGATTCGAGGTGAACCCTTCGTCCGTTGGCCGGCCAAGTTGGGGAGCACGCAGAGGGGCTTCAATTCAAAATATCGCTGCATCTTTCATGAAGAACGGGGGCACCGAACAGAGGACTGCTTGCCGCTTAAACAACACTTAGAGGAGTTGGTGGCGGCAGGGCATCTTGACCAATACATAGATGGGGGCATCAAGGCCACGCTAGCGGACCAAGCCGAGCCAAATGGCCTGGCCGCCCTAGAAGCGCCCCCGCAAGGTGTAATCAACGTCATCCACGGCATCATTGAACCGGCCAGGGTCTGCGAGCTGAGAGGGATGATCAAGAAGGCCGAGCACATGAGGGAAGTGCTCTCTGTTCAGCCCGCTGTGAAGAGGGGAAAGACCGAAGAGAGGGACATCCTTTCATTCTCGACCAAGGACTTGGAAAGAGTTCAGATGCCGCACAATGATGCTTTAGTAGTCACTCTTCGCGTCAAAGACTTGGACATCAAGAGAATCTTGATCGACCAGGGGAGTTCGGTAGAAATTATGTATTATGACGCGTTTAAACAAATGAAGCTGAAAGACAAGGACTTGGCCCCCGCAACGTCCCCTTTGGTCGGCTTCAACTCACAACTAGAATGGCCAATCGGAAAGATTATTTTGCATGTCAAAGCGGGATCGGTCGTAAAACAAGTAGAATTCTAGGTGCTCAAAGTTCCATCGACTTACAACTTGATCTTAGGCAGGGGCTGGCTGCACGCCATGCAAGAAGTTGCTTCGACCTTCCACCAAGTCATGCGCTTTTCGGCACCAAGCGGACAAATAGAGGAAGTTTGGGGGGACCAGGTGATGGCAAAACAATGCATCGTTGCGGTAAATGGCAGCCGAGCGGCCAAAGGGTTCGTCCAAATGATTGAGGGGCCCGAGGGTAAAGAGGTCCTTGAAGACATAAGAAGGAAGGCCGAGGAAAAATCGGTAGAGGATTTGGTTGAAGTGCGCATCGACGAGAACAGCCCGACTAAGTTCTTCCTCTTGGGATCATCTTTGTCGAACGCCGAGCGGTTAGATTACGTCAAATTCTTGACTTCTAATTCGGAGGCCTTTGCGTAGACACCTTACGATATGCCTGGCGTTGACCCAAGCTTCATTTGCCATCAGTTGAAAGTCTTCCCCGATGCACGGCCCGTCATCCAAAGGACACGCCGCTCAGCCTTGCACCATGCTGAGGTGGTAGCGGAAGAAGTGAAGAACCTGTTGGAAGCTGGGGCCATAGAGGAGGTGCAATACCCTCGGTGGATATCCAACACGGTGGTTGTTCCGAAGAAGAATGGCAAGTGGCGAGTCTGCGTTGACTACAAGACTGTCAACCGAGCTTGCCCCAAGGATAGCTTTTCCCTCCCACGAATTGACCAGCTGGTGGACTTAACCGCTGGCTATCAGAGGTTTAGCTTCCTGGATGCATATCGCGGCTACCACCAGATAGCCATGTATAAGCCGGACAGAGAGATCACGTCGTTCACAACCCCTAGAGGCTTATATTGCTACAAAGTCATGCCGTTCGGACTAAAGAACGCTGGGGCGACTTTTCAACGGATGGTGACAAAGATGTTCACCCCAATGCTGGGCCGCACCATGGAGGCCTACATCGACGACATGGTGGTGAAGAGTAGGGAGAAGTCTCAACATCTCGCCGACCTAGCAGAAATGTTTGCCATCCTAAAGCACTACAAGCTTCGTCTGAATGCCTCCAAATGCGTCTTCGGAGTTGGCACTGGGAAGTTCTTGGGTTTTTTGGTTACCAACCCGGGAATCGAAGCCGACCCATCACAAATCAAGGCAATACAAGAGCTGGAGCGTCCTAACTCCACGAGGGACGTGCAACATCTTGCCGGGATGGCAACCGCGTTGAGCAGATTTATCAGCCGGTCTTCGGATCGTTGCAGGCCCTTCTGTAAAACTTTGAAGTCCAAGTTCTTCTGGGATGATGAGTGCGACCGCGCACTAGCAGACCTGAAAGCATATCTCTCCTCAGCCCCTATTTTGGTCACGTCTCAGCCGGGCGAAGAGTTGTACCTCTACTTGGCTATCTCTCAACACGCGGTCAGCCCGGTATTGGTCCGTGCTGAAGGCATCCAGCACCTACCGATCTTCTATGTAAGCAAGACTCTGCTCCCAGCCGAAACAAGATATCTTCCCTTGGAAAAATTGGCGCTGGCCCTAATGATGGCGTCAAGAAAGCTGGCACACTATTTTCATGCCCATACAATAGTTGTGTTAACTGAGTTCCCGCTCAAGGTGCTTTTTGAAAAGGCAGACTTCGCTGGGAGAATTTTGAAATGGGCCGTGGAATTAGGACAATATGACATCAAGTTCCGACCACGTGCCGCAATCAAGGCTCAAGCACTTGCTGACTTTGTGGCAGAATTTGCCCCTGGGATGCATCCAGTATGCCCGATTGATTTGGTTGATGCGGATTTAGCCCAACCCATGGTTCTGGCAATGAAAACAAGTGTTGGTTCGCAAGTAGGAAAAGGGACGAGCACGACCGAACTAACAAAGTCCGGCGATGATGAACCCAACCAAGACAAAGGAAGAGACCAGAATGAACCGATCAAAGACTTGGAATTGAGAAGCTCCCAGAACCCCTCTGATTGCTGGAAGCTGTTTATGGGCGAGATGTGGAAGCTCTTCGTTGATGGGGCATCCAACAGACATGGGGCCGGGCTGGGCATCGTGCTGAACTCACCGGACGGGCTGGTCATTGAGCAGGCAATTACACTCGGCTTCCCAGCATCCAACAACGAGGCTGAGTATGAAGCTCTCCTTGCCGGGCTAAGAAACGCACTAAGAATGAAAGCGTCGGCCTTGATGGTGTTCAGCGATTCCAAGCTGGTGGTCAATCAAGTCTCAGGGGAGTATGAGGCCAGGGATGAAAGAATGGCCAAGTATCAGGCGCTGGTGTGTGCAAAGATCAAAAAGTTCGATGCCATAAGGGTAGAGCAGATCAACCGCGAAGGAAACAACACGGCTGATGAGTTGGCCGGGCTCGCTTCTACTCAGACAGTTTTTCCCAACCCCTTGATGATAGAATTTTTACCGCGGCTAAGTATAGAAGAACCGGAAGTGGCCGAGGTACTTTGCACTGACTTGGGCCCTTCTTGGATGGATCCTATCATCGCCTTCCTGAAAGATAGAATTCTACCAGAAGAAAAGAAGGTGGCACACAAGATCCGGGCAAAGTTAGAGCGGTTTTGGCTCTCCCCTTCCGGGGCCTTGTACAAGAAATCTTTCACCGAGCCGTATTTGAAATGTGTCCACCCCACCAAGGTGGAGGCTTTCCTCTATGAGATACACGAGGGCATCTGTGGAAGCCATACTAGAGGCAGGTCCTTGGCTTACCGAGCAATTTCCCAAGGTTACTGGTGGCTGTGCATGCAGGCGGACGCGCAGAAATACGTTCGTCGGTGTGAAAAGTGTCAGAAATTCGCTCACCAGATCCACCAGCCAGCTAGAGATTTGCTCCCACTTTCAAGTCCTTGGTCGTTCGCGCTTTGGGGATTGGATATTGTTGGACCACTCCCAGCAACACCGGGCAATCGCAAGTTCTTCATCTCCGCCACCGACTATTTCACCAAGTGGGTTGAGGCCGAGCCACTAGCGACCATAAAGGAAAAGGACGTGAAGAAGTTTGTATGGCAAAACGTCATCACCCATTTCGGTATACCCAAGGCCCTCATCCCGGATAATGGCACTCAATTTGATGGTAAACTCTTTCGCGAATTTTGCGAAGAGTTGAAGACCGAGTTCTACAATTTGACATCGGCCTATCCTCAGTCAAATGGTCAAGTAGAGGCCTCAAACAAGACCATCCTGGACGGGCTGAAGAAGCGGCTTGAGAAGGCTAAGGGCAAGTGGGCTGAAGAACTCCCTAATGTGCTCTGGGCATACCGCACTACGCCAAGGCAGTCAACCGGGGAAACACCATTTGCTTTGGCCTATGGCATGGAGGCCGTCATCCCGTTGGAAATTGGCATGCTAACCATCCGCTCTGAAAGTTTCCAGCCAGATCTAAATAATAAAGCGGTGGCATTGAAGTTGGACCTTGCTGAAGAAAGGAGGGGGCGAGCATTGATCCACATAGCGGCTTATCAACAAGAACTCTCCAAAAAGTAGAACAAGGCTGTGCACCCCAGGTTGTTCAAGATTGGGGACTGGGTATTAAGAAAGGTGCTTGGCAACACAGTGGTCCCTGGCGAAGGAAAGCTCGGTGCAAATTGGGAAGGACCATACAAGGTGATTGGTCTTGCTGGTAAAGGGGCATACCATCTGGAAGATTTAGATGGCAAGGCTGTCCCACGACCATGGAATGCGTCCAACCTTAAGGTCTTTTACTTTTAAGATGTAATTTGCTTGTGTTGTTTAGCTTTTCTAGACCTTTAGCCTTGTGGCACTTGATGTAAAAGATAACAATGCTTTTGTAATGAAAAATAGCCCTCTTGTTGTTTGGTATTACATCTTTGTACAATGACATCGCAAGGACGCAAGGCAATTATAGATGCCAGGGGCAAATAGACCGATCTGAATGGAACCAGACTGACTTTCTCTGGCCGGCATGAGGCATACTGCGCAAACCGTTGGGAAGATTGGCTTGCGAAGTAATTGGTATATTAGCTTAGGGGCCGAGCTGAATCTTGCTCGCCCAGCTGGGTGTTGGCGTCCTGACCAACTTAAATGGAATATTGGTGTTTTACCCAATGTTAAGGCCGAGATGACTTTGATCGGCCGAACGATATGTTGGTGAATTGCCCAACTAATAATAGCCGAGCTGACTTTGCTCGAAGGTGGAAATATTGACATTCTGTCCAATCCATTGGCCGAGCTAATTTTGCTTGGAAGGATCGAAATGTTGGTGAATTGCCAAACTTACAAGATCCAAGCTGGTTTTGCTTGGACGAAGGCAATGTTGGCGTCCTGTCCAACGCCAGGCCGAGCTGATTTTTCTCGGCCACATTGGGACATTGGTAATTCCAATGTACGCCGAACTGATTTTGCTCGGCGGAAATGAAATGTTTGTGATTTCCCCCGACTTCCTATTGGGACCGAGCTAATTTGCCCCACCCAAAAACGAGACTTAGAACGTTGTCAAAGCCAGAATGGCGGAGTTAATTGTTGCTCAGACCGAGCTGATTATGCTCGGGTCAGGGAAAGAAGTGAGTTTAAGTGGAGCAACTCTAATTTCAGCTCGGCTTGGTGCACGGCGAAGCCGACCTACCAGTTTGAATCAAGGAATTTATGCACATGCCAACTGAACAGAAATGGAAGTTAAACGAGCAAAAAGTAGAAAATTTTCATTGATAAAGGAAATTTTAGTACAAGATGGGGGACATAGCCCATTACATCCAAAAAAAAAAAAGAAAACAAAAACAAAACAAGGAAGATCTTTAGTACAGTTCAAGGTCCACGGTTTGCTCGGCTGCCTCCACCGTCTACTCGGCGATCTCAGTTGTCTGCTCGGGCAGGTTTTCCCCGGCATCATCGTCTGCTCCATCCTCCACAGCAACCTCCCGATCAGCCACTTCATCTTCCGCATGTTGGGATGCTTCGGTAGTGGTTTGCTCGGCTTGTTGCGCGGCGGCGGCTTCTTCCTTGGCCTCTTTCCTTGCCTCAGCGATAAGCCGGTTCTGGGTAGCACTGGCGTACGCCTGCATATAGACCAGGATGTAGGTTGCAGGGGGGTTAAGGAACATGTCAGCGTCTTGACCAAGGCCAACTTTTTCCACGGCGGCTTTCCAACCGCACTGGAAAAAAGATGTCCTTGGTCGCTTGGACCTGGTGCTCGTAAGTCTTCTCGCCCTGAGCGTGTCCCCGGTCCTCGGCATCATCGACTGCCTTGTCCATGGCTACCTTGTTGGCATCGCGCAGTTTCCTCAGCTCGGCAAGGTACCGAGCCTTTATCGACTTCACGGCCCGTTGCTTGTCTTCGTCAGGTCGGTCGACCTTTTGGCTCAGGATGTCTCGCTCCGCCGCGACCGCTTCTTGCGCGGCCTTGAGTTTTGTTATCTCGGCCTTTTGGGCCTTATTCTCGGCGATGGCCTCACGCAGACTCTGCCGCACGGCGATCATACGCTCGTGGGTGAGGTAATTCTTTTGCGCGGCCTGCAAGCAAATGAGAGATCATGAGTACCAAGGCAACCGAACAGAAACCGAGCAATGACTTGAAGACAAATTGAAAAACTTACCAGCACTTTCGACTTGGCTGTTGAACGAAGCACTTTCAGATTGGACAGCTCGTCGTGCTTCTTCATGTCGGCTGGAAGGATTAGCCCCTTGGTCATATTGAAACCAAGGGAGTAATCCTTGTCAGCATACACCGAATCAGCAGACGAGACTGCCCGGCCCTTTTACGTTATCTCGGGTGCCCAGACCGGGGGGAAACTTGGGGATTTGGAAGGCCTGCCGAATGGTTGTTCGGTCTGGTCGCCCAGCTCGGTGGCGCCGAGCTCAGTGGAGTGTTCATCAGCGAGGTTTTGCCCAGCCGGGTCCTTCATCGGTCTTTTCTTTGACCGGCCAACCGGTTGTTCGCTGGCGAGGGCCAATACCGCACTCTTCTTCTGCCCGGCAGGTGCGGATGATGTTCCCTCGATTGCCTCCGGTGGTTGGGACTCGCCCTCACCAGTAATCATGGACTTGATTGCCCTAATTTTTGCCATTTTTTGCTCGGCGGTGAGTGGAACAAGCCTGATCGGTGGTAGGTTTGGATCTGGTTCTGGGGATGGAGCATGCAGAAAGTCGGTAACCCGGCTCTTGCGCGGTGTGGTGTAGTGGTATGTCTATTCAAAGCTGAGCAGTTTCGAAGCCTCCCTCTCCTCTACAGGATGGCACAACAGGGCTCTGATGGCCCCTTGGTTGGCCTGGTGGTAGTTTGCTGCTAGGTGCTTATTTGCAAAAAAAAGACAAGTGTTAGATCGGTATGGAAAGTAATTGATGCATAAAGAAAATAGCGCGGTCAGCCGAGCGACTCACCGGAACTACCAAAATCCTTTCTAATATACCATCCCAGTATGGGTGCCTCGGTGTCCTCATAGCGACCGGACACCCACAAGAAGTCGTCGTCGTTGGTCTCCTTGTCTGGGTTGCCCTCTATTAGCTTTGCTCGGCCCTTCTTGACTTTGAGGTACCAGCAAAGCCCACTCTTATTTCTACTTAGACTATACTGATGGAAAATTTTGGCCAGACCGAGATTGAGACCGAGCCTCTGGTTCAGCTCGGCGACCCTGTTTATTATTTTGTAAGTGTTATTGGAAACTTGGGTCGGGCAAAGCCTTGTCTGCCTCAAAAATTCACAGATCAAGGGTTGAACCGGGAAGCGGAGCCCTCCCTCTACTATTAATATGACGGTGAAGGGGCACCGGTCTAGATCCCCCCATGGGGTGTCTCCTTTTTTGGCGAGTTCTAAGATGACGTCATCTGGGATGTTGTACTCCCTACAAAACTCGGCCATCGCACCGGGCGAGCTCACCATGAATCGTTACTTGCCCATCTATCTCGGTTTTATTTGGTGAACTAACTTGTATCTCGGACAAAAATGTTGGTGTGTTTGCTCGGACTTTGAGCTTCACCAATTATAGTGCTAGACTGGCTTGGTCGGTCCTATTTGTTCTGCATGTTAAAAAATAATTCCAAGGGTTAGCACGGCATAAATTGCGCGGCCCCTATGGAAATTGGCTCAGTGAAGGGATTATTAGTGTTTGGCCGGTTCGACCCCTACCTCGGCTAGGCTACTTGGTCGATTTCCTAGTTCGGTTCTAACTCTCCACTTCTGGCTCAGTCAAGGTCCAAGAAGGAGATCCTAACAAAGTTATAGCTCGGTCGGGTCCTATTTGACGAACTAACTGAGCCTTTAGCTCGGTCAAGGCCCAAGTAACGACCTCAAGTTTTCGCCCCGTGCAGTTCTATTACCGGTCTAATTGGTAGTTCGGCTCGGCTACAGCCTCTACGAGAAGCCACAAACTAGTTTTTTGCTCGGCCGTAGTGTCATTTATGGATCTAAACGAGCGTTTAGCTCGGTTCTACCCAGATTCAAACTGTTCATCCCAGAACTAGGACGAGCTCGTTCGAACCCAGGAGAAACAAGGGGCACGAAAGCCCCATCCATTCCTATTGTTTTTGTTTGCCCTAGGGTGTGCAAGATCTAAGCAAAGGAAAGCAACTCTAATGGCCCCAAGCATAAACATGAAGAATACAAGCACAAAAAAGTGGAAAACTTGAGGAACTCGTGTACGAGAATTTGAAGGAAGGGTAGGAGAACTTACCAAATACCAGATGCAAGAGCAGGGCCTCTTGAACTTGGTTGTGACCTCACGAGAAACAAAAAATAGGAACAGAAGCAGGTGAGATGCAGTGGTAGTGAGGGCAATTTCTCAGAGAATATGGAAGCTAGGGTTTAGGGTTTGTGTGGAAGAGAAGGTGAAAAGTGAAGGGTTTTAGGCCCTTTGTTGGAATACAAAAGAGGGGGGAAGGAACCCAAACGGCTGCGCCGTTTAAATTCTACGCGTGCAGAACAGCTGGCTGCACGACCCAATAGCGTGAAGCCACGTGGCACTGGAAATGCGGCTGTAAGTACGGCTGTACGACCTTTGATGAGACTGCGGAGGAAATGGCCGATCAAACGGGACAGCTCGGCGATAGATATGCCCCAAATCATGCTCGGCTTGGTAATGGCGCAACTCATCCGTTAGCTCGGTCACGATGGTAACCCCAATCACGACTAGGTCGGATGGGGTTAAGGGGCAATTGAGAGAGGAGATTTGCGCGTTAGTACGGCCGAGCTACGATAACACCGATCATGACGAACCGCACGCCGCCGGGCAGACTCCTCTCTTGCTCGGCCAAGCGGCCTGACTTGCACGGCCGGAGAGGTCGATCGGCCAGACACGAACCAATGCCTAGCCGAGCTATGACGCGACCGAGCACGCAGTAGTGTCTGATGACCAAGCTAAGAGCAGCCCGGACTGGATTTGAGATGCGATTAGCGTCGACATGCGCCTAACCGATCGGCCGAGATGGACGGGCTTCATGTGATCAAGAATGAAGAACGGTGGAAGTCCAGCGTGCTTCATGGCCGTTCAGTCAAGTGGGACCGATCATAAATAGCCCGGCCATGAGCGTAACACTTTGGCCTCTTTTCCAAGGGGCAGGTCGGCATTCATTAGCTCGGTTATGTGTTCGAGGAGGCAATTCTCCACAAGGAACCAGCTGGTCGTGGTACTCCGGTTAAGTGTGCCACTTCGGCCAATGGTGTGAGGAAGAGGACATCTGCTCCACGCACGCACCAATACCGTTTGGCAGTTCCGCATGTACTGGTTGGAGGACGAAATCTTTACACGCGTAAGGTGGTGGGAGGCAAGCACTGCCACCTGTCCAGGGAAGGAC